GAGTGATAACTAATGGAAATATGCAGTTTTTGGAAGCACTCCTCCTCTTTTATAAGCGTTTCTTGTCTTATTTTATGCTTTTATTGAATAAATTTACATAAAAAGCTGCGCAATATGCAAATTTTTCATTTTCTGTGTGTGTGTGTGTGTATGTGTGCCGAAGAATCTCGGACTTTTTCTTCGGTTTTGTAAATAATGATTCCCGCACCGATTGTCCGGTCGATCTTGATATGCAAATTCTTACATTCAGTGGAATTTGAAGTTTCAAAATTTCAGTTGATATTGTTTTTTTGTAGTGTAAAAGCCGACACTGCACTGGCTGTATTTTGAGCTTTTCACGCGTAGTTTTTCTTGTATTATCTTGAAATCCACCTTATGGTCAGCCGACTAATGAGTCCAGTATTATCTTCACGGTGTAGAATTATGGCAGAATAATTTCTCAAGATTTTTGGTTTTTCAGAGTTACTAGCTGAAAATGGCCGATTGAATTTGCTGGACAGCATCCTGAAATCCTTCGATTCGATCATGCGAGCCCATCGGGGCGAGTTATCTGTTGAAGTGATCACTGCCGAGGTATAATTTTGTTGATGATATTATTTTTGATTACAAATGTGATAAAATGATAATGATATGAGAAAGCATTCAATCGGATGGAATTTGGAGCGAATTCTTTAAAATCACAAAAAAATATTGGCACTTTTCTGCTTTTGCCTCCACAAAATCTTCATGAAATTTACGGATTCGGAAAAATCTTTCGCCATTCTCACCTTACTTTATTGGATCTTCTTTCTTTTTGTATGCGTTTTGTATGAATCGAAATCTTGGAATTGAAATAACAAGGATCTTTGAATACAAAGCTTTGGATACTTATAAATTTATTTACAGGTATACTCAATTTTTTACTTTTTTTGATGCTCCGCTATTCTGATCAGCTGCTATTTCATTGTTGCATTCTCGCCATTGATGCAGCTGGCAACTTCTCCATTCTTCTCTGTTTTGCGTTCATCTCATCCACCTAATTCTACGTAGCCTTTCTAGTTGAGCTTTTCATTGCATCAATTGTTTAGCACTCTTAAAGTTATGAGAACGTTAATTATCGCGTGCTTCCGTGTTTGAAACGTCATAAAATTCATAGTAAAATTAAGTTTGCGCTCGTTTTCAGCCTCTCAGTAAGAAACACGAAACAGCGTTACGAGATGCTCTGAAGAAGCTAGCGAAACCGGGACAAAGTCTGCAAATTGAAATGACCGTGAAACCAAGCATCCTTGGTGGTATGATGGTCAGTATTGGTGATAAATTCATCGACATGAGTATTGGTACCCAATTCAAGAAGTTCGAGGAATTGCTGCGAAGCGCCGCATGAATCCGAATTCGAGCTTTGTTAGGGGCGAATTTTGTCTATTGTAATATTAGCGATTTTATTGCTCATGATAAACTTTTGTGAAAATGTGCTGTTACAGTATATCTACCGTACCCGGCCCCCGTTTTACTGTAGCGCAGATCCATCCGACACAATCAAGGCTGAGGGCGACTTAGTAGTACTTCAATGAGGGCATATGCACGCTTAAGTGGTACACAAAGGAAAATGAATATACTAAAGTGAAGTACTGAGTATATACTTAAGGGTAGTTTTAAGCGTGGTTTGCTTAAAGGAGGTTTCTAGTGATACTTGAATAGAATTTGAATGCGCCTTAGTGATACTTAAAGACCCTATTGTTGCCGTTATCCAGAAAAATTGGAATTCTTACATTTTGCTTTTTTTTCGGTTTCCTAGTGGCCATCATTTATTATTTTTATAAAGCTTGAAGACATCCAGAAATGCTTCAGTTGGA